TTTTCGGTTTCTTTTCTTCTTCTTTTTCTTCCATTTTTCGTTTTTTCCTTCTCTGCAGTTCTTTATCAGTTTTCTTTGTTTTTGGCCTTTGCATTTTTCTTTTTATTTATCATTATCCTTTGCTAAAAAGCACGTCGATTGTTTTTCAATACACGTTGTACATTTTTCATATATAAGCATAACATTTTTTGATACACGTTGAACATTTGTGACATACATAATCATCATTTTTTCAGATACATGTTTGGGACAATTTTTTGCATACAACTTAAACAATTTTTGGAATGAAGCCAAACTTTTTTTTTGCGTTGTATAAACAATGTTTTTTCAAAATGTTACGAAGATTTGTTTAAACATGTAAACATTTTTCAAATGTCACGTACATATTTTTGATTGTCGCCAAACCTTTTTCTGAATTACACGAATATTTGTTTTCACCATATAAGAACTTTTATAAAAATATATAACAAACAATTTTGAAAAGCAGTGTCAGTTTGAAATGTCACATACATCTTCTGGAATTACATGAGCTGGTTTTTACATTGTATGGGTATTAACTTTTTTTTAAAAAGACTTATGAGCATGTTTTGAAACAAAGCGAACATATTTTTAAATGTTATGTACCTTATTTTTGAATGGAACACACATTTTAAAGTTGATGAAACATTTTTTAAACTGCATGAAGTTTTTTAAATATGTGATGAACACTTTGAAAATTTTATTAAATTATATATATATATATATAAAGATAAAGAAAAGTAAAAAGAAACATGGTGCATGACGAGAATAACATGGCTACTGGGAGGCCTACTACACAGCAATCCTATGGGATGCGCGCCGACTAATGCCAGGTCGAGAGAGAATAGGCCCAAACTGAATGCAAGATAATAGGCCAAGGCCCAAACCGAATGCACGAACGAAGAAAGCCCGTTCAAGAGAGAGCGGGCTTAAGCCCACCTCCTTCCCCATGTCATCACCTGGTTGTCCCTGTTCGGCCCTCTCTTTCTTTCGGGAGCGCCTGTACACCGCCCGTGTGCGCCCGTTCTTCGCGGCTTCGCTGAAGCGACGCGAAATGGGCCGGCCTAATTATCACGTTTCGAGCGGAAAAAAAGAAGAAGCGCACGCGAGGATCGAACTCCCAACCTCCCGGTGGATTCTAGCGTGCGTAGCCAGCCAAGCTTGCGACCTACAGCAGTTTTAGTGCAGCGCAAGTCTTAAAGTAGACAGCGGCAATTCATTTTTTCCAAAAAAATTATTATTTTTAATAATATACAGTGAACAAACTATAAAATATAGTGAACCATTTTTGTAAGCAAACACTGAAATTTTTTCAAATACATAAATGAACATTTTGTAGTATGCGTTGAACAATTGTTTAATGCACGAAGAGCAAATTTAAATACACAATGAACATTAGGTAGTATGCATTGAACAATTGTTTAATGCAAGATGAACAAATTTTCAATACACAATGAAAATTTTGTAGTATGCGTTGAACAAATGTTTAATGTACGATGAATAAATTTTAAGTACACAATGAATGTTTTAATATACGTTGAACAATTTCATAATATACAATTAACATTTGTAATACATGATGAACATTTTTATAAATTCAAAGGTGAACTATTTCATAATATATGATGAACATTTTCTTAATACGATGAAGATTTTAGTAATACATGGTGGGATTTTATATAATATGCAATAAAGAGAAGAAAAACAGAAATAGAAAAAAAGGAAACATAAAAGAAAAAATGGAAGGAGAAAGGAACCAAAAGAGAGAAAAAAAAGAAAAAAAGGGAACAAACAGCTGAAAACCGGACAAAAACAGTGAAAAAACTGGATACAAAAAACCATATAGAAGAAAAACGAAAAAAACCCGCAAGGAATAGAGAAGGAAGCAGCGAACGAATCAAAGAGCAAACGCCAATCCCGTACGTGGGCCGGCCCAACAGGAGGCTCGCCTCAGCGAAAGCACGTCGTTCTGACGCTAACGAGCGTCAAATAGGGTTTGCCCTTTCTCCCTCCCCTCCTCTCCCCATCGCAAACCCCTAAACCCCCAAAAAATGGCGGCGCCGCCGGCCCACCTCCGCCGCCTCCTGCTGCCGCACCTCCGCCGGAACCGCCTCTTCTCCGCCCTCACCGACACCCCTTCCTCGCCCCCGCCGCCCGCCCCGACCTCAGACGCCATCCTCTACTCGCTCCGCGGCCTCTCCAAG